TTGTATTACTAGTGAAATCTCATTTGCAATCATATCCTTGTCCTTTGATCATAAATTGTTTTTGGAATATTTGTTTTTTATCAGGAATTACTATATTATTCCAATTTATTCCAGGAATCTTCTCAGATTTACATTATACATCAGATATTGATTCAGCATATTTTCTCTTTTGATTTTAATTAGAGAAATATATTATGGATTGTGTTTTCGTTATCTTCATTGCAATGATGAAACATATCTCTTTCTTATTAGATTTCTTCGTCTTGGAAGAGCTACATCTTATGCTTCATATATGATCATCCAAATTCTTGGTTTTCTGGAATGGTTATGTTCTTCTTCTAAATGGGAACAGCAATATATGTTTATATGTATATATGTCTATACGTATATATGTGTATATGTATATATGTATATATGTATATATGTATATATGTATATATGTATACATATATACATATATATATATATATGTATATGTACAGAAAACAGGGGAAGTTCCAGGCATTTAGAGTTTAGGGTTGAGCAATACGAACGAGCGCCCTGCTTCACTGACGAGAGCTACGCCAGGTCGGAGCTCTGTGCGCGTCTCCCGCCGGGGCCAAAGCCGCACATGCAAGATTGGAGTTTAGGGTTTAGGGTTTAGGGGCTAGGGGTTAGGGGTTAGGGGTTAGGGTTTAGGGCTTAAACCCTAAACCCTAAACCTCAAACCCTAAACCCTAAACTCCTATCAGCCCTACACCCTAAACCCTAAACCTCCTGCGAGCGCTTCTTTGGGTGCGGGGGAGTCCTTGTTTTATGTGAAGAGGCTCTGTTTTGCAAGCTACTAAACTCTAAGCCCTACGCCCCTTTTAACCACTTTACACCAAGAAGGGTGCCCTTTGTGTCCCTGGGTTACTCTTGGGTCTAGTCTCTTGACTTGCCTAAACCTTTCTTAAACCCTCTGTCTTTGCAGTCGGGCGAATCCCACAATGTCACGACTGATCCCAACAATTCCCTGACCGGAGCTTCGACCTTCCTGTTTGAAACAGTATCGGTGTACTCCCGAACCCTGAATCCCTTCTACCCTCCCTGGTTCTTTGGAGGGGAATGAGGGAATGAGGGCCCTATATATACCCTTTAGCGGATTATGTAGGGCCCCGCATTCCCTCATTCCCTACTAAGAACCGGCCAGGCTACCCCCTAAAACGCTAGAGCCCAGACCCCAACTGCTCAAAATGCAAGCCTCCCTAAGCCCCACTTGGAGGTTCATGGTACTTACTAACCAAGTTTAACTGGACTTGTTCTAACCATGTTAGGGCACTTAGGGGCCTTATCAGTGGGTTATAAGTACAGTTACAATTGGGTTAATAAGTACCATGACCCGCCAAGTAGGCCCTGTATAACCCCCGAAGCCTTCCGCTTAAGCGCGCCTCGCCCATGGGATCCCCAAACGAAACCGAAAGAGTAAGGGGGTGGCCATGAAGGGACTCTTGAAAGGATGCCAAGGTTTAGGGTTCAGGGTTTAGGGTTCAGGGTTTAGGGTTTAGGGTTTTGGGATTTGGGTTTTGGGTTTTGGGTTCGGGGTTTAGGGTAAGTTTAGGGTTTAGGGTTCGGGGTTTCGAGTTTCGGGATTCGGGTTTCGGGATCAGGGTCTGCTGCATCTGAGTTGTTTCTCGGCCCCTTCTGACCTGCTTTAGTATGGAGCCTGGGGTTAGGCCTAACTATGCACAAAGTCCTTGCTGACCCTATAGCAGCCTAACAGTAAACCTTTCCTGCGTGCGTTCCCGAACCCCTTAGTCACCCCGGGGTCAATGCAAGTAACTTTGCCTAAGCCCTAGCCTCTAACCCCTAACCCCTAAACCCCAAACCCTAAACCCAAACCCTAAACCCTAAACCCTAAACCCTAAACCCTACTGATCGGGTGCATCCACTGTGGGCACTGTCACTGAAGGCGCTTCTGGGCTTCGCAATTGGCCGCCGCCTGTGGCTGCTGCCGCTTGGTGCGCTCCCCAGCTGGGCCACAGGTTTGGTTCAGGGTTTGGGGTTTAGGGTTTAGGGTTTAGGGCTTAGGGCTTAGGGTTTAGGGTTTAGGGTTTAGGGCTTAGGGTTCAGGGTTCAGGGTTCAGGGTTCAGGGTTCAGGGTTCAGGGTTCAGGCTTTAGGGTTTAGGGTTTAGGGCTGAGGCTTCCGCACTCTAGGCACGCTAGTGTATGTGCGAGCAGTGTGTTGGCCGTTAATGCGAGATCGGTGATTCCAGCAGCTGTGTTGCTCTTTCAGGAGAGCTTGTGCAAGCCCGGGCGCGCTCACGGCTTAGCTACGCTACATCGGCTTGTGGGTATGCAAAGACGTATTGAATAAAAACTATCGCCTAACCTCAAGCGCTCGCCAAATCGTCACCTTGCACTTCCCCCATGTTTGCCGATGGCTTTTGTTGGAAGGTGTTGCTTCTTTAAACCTTGAACCCTTGCACAGCCCGAAACCCTAAACCCGTTTTTTTTTTTTTTTTGGGGGGGGGGGGGGGGCACAGTATTGCCTTTATGATTTGAGTAACCAAGCTTTCTGCAAGATCCAGCTGCATTCGCACACAGCACTCGCATCAGCTTGTTGCAGATGCAGCCAATGAGTGCTACACAATTCACTCACAAGTTTCGAAGCCTGAGCCGAGGCCCAAGTCCTCAATTTCTTTCGTACACCCTTTTAATAGCACTATAAACCGCAAGCATCCATGACAAGCTTTTCTCGGAAGTTGAGAGATAGAAAGGCAAGTCAACCCTAAACCTCATAAGCCCGACGTCAGTTCACTGGTACTTCCCAGCCGCGCCACGGGCCGTAGACACTGAACCCTCAAACCCTAAACCCTAAACCCTAAACCCTAAACCCTAAACCCCACACCCCAAACCCCAAACCCCAAACCCCAAACCCCTTCGCCAGGTCTTCAGGCCCTCCTCGTGGTGGCGCCGCTCTGGTACAGCCGCTCGGTCGATGCTCCTGGCATCCTCAGGTCAGGTCTAGGTCTACACCCTTTAGGGTGGGGTTTGGGGTTTAGGGTTTACGGTTTGGGGTTTAGGGTTTAGGGTTTAGAGTATAGGACCCAGAGTAGGCCCGTCTTCCCTTGGTTTAGGGTTTCGGTTCCCTTGCAAGCCCCTTTTATACCAAAAGGGGCACCCTTTTTTGTTCTTAGGTTGCTCGTGGTCTAGGAACCCTACACCCCTGAACTCCTAAACTCCTAACCCAGGGTGTGTCCGTTCCGTTCCGCCCATTCCGGGGTCCACGTTGAGTTCCGTTCCGTTCCGGGCGTTGCATTCCGTTCTGTTCCCTAAACGTACGAACATGATTTTTCCAAGCATCGGCAAAATCATTGTGGGAACTCCCTGCTATTGTCCTTTAAGGAGGCTCCGGCTGCATCGGGAAGCGCTGGTCTTGTGCAGGCTATTCTTTTCGGCGTCTGATGCAGAACCTCCGGGATTCGGCCGGAGCATGCCGGAGCCTCTCAAAAGACAACTAGCAGGCGGTTGCCAAGATGATCTTTTCGGTGCTTGGGAGAATCATTTTGGTTTTCTGCTTGGAAAGACTCTGTCTTTCCGTGCATTCGCGGGCTACCCGGTCTCCTTGTCCTGAATATGCTGTCGCGTTCCGTTCCCCTTACCGTTCCGTTCCCGTTACCGTTCCGTTCCGTTGTCTGCTGGTTCTCTGGATCCCAAACCCTAAACCCTAAACCCTAAACCCTAAACCCTAAACCCTCTCAGAATCCCTAAGCCGTGGTTCCGTAGGGAAAGGCCCCAATCCTTGACAGTGTTCGGGACTTAAGGCCAGAGACTTCGGGAACCGGGGATAACGTCGTAGCCCGCAACCCGCCGAAGCTTTAAACCGCAACCCTAAACCCTAAACCCTAAACCCCTAAACCCCTAAACCCCTAAACCCCTAAACCCCTAAACCCCTAAACCCCTAAACCCCTAAACCCCTAAACCCCTAAACCCCTACACCCCTAAACAACTAAACCCCTAAACCGCTAAACCCCTAAACCCCTAAACCCTAAACCCCAAACCCTAAACCCCAAACCCTAAACCCTAAACCCTAAACCCTAAGCCCTAAGCCCTAAGCCCTAAACCCTAGCCCTAAACCCTAAACCCTAAACCCTAAACCCTAAACCCTAAACCCTAAACCCTAAACCCTAAACCCTAAACCCTAAACCCTAAACCCTAAACCCTAAACCCTAAACCCTAAACCCTAAACCCCAACCCGAAGCCTTTAAAAGGAACCCGAAGCCTACATTCCTAACTCCGAAACTCTGCGACCCTAAAATCCCAAACCCTCACCCGAAAGCCGAGACCCCACCAGTACCCCTTCAAGATGCCTAAACTCCCCCCCCCCCCCCCCCCCCCCCCCCCCCCCCCCAGATGAGGGTTAGGGTTTAGGGTTTAGGGTTTAGGGTTTAGGGTTTAGGGTTTAGGGTTAGGGTTTAGGGTTTATAGGGTTTAGGGTTTAGGATTTAGGGTGTAGGGTTCTAGCGTTCTAGGGTTCTAGGGTTCTAGGGTTCTAGGGTTCTAGGGTTTAGGGTTTTGGGTTTTGGGTTTTGGGTTTTGGGTTTAGGGTTTAGGGACTAAGGTTTAGGGACTGAGGTACACTTAGCCTCTTATGAAGGGACAGCCTTAAACGGGCTACCTACACTCTCCAAGTACCCTGTAAGCTGCCCTCAATACCCCCATGAAGGTATACACCGGAGGCTCTTAGTAAGGGGTACTTGGGGCGCCCTAAACCCCAAACCCCAAACTCTAACCCTAAACCCTGAACCCTAAACCCTCGGTCTCGTGGGGGTGGCGGGGGGTGAAAGGATGGGAGTCATGGGTCACGCCTAGGTAACGTCCTCGACCGGGTGAAGGAGGTGGGACTTGTAACGCGCAACCGCTGTTGGTGAACAATGTCTGGGGTTTAGGGTTTAGGGTTTAGGGTTTAGGGCTTAGGGTTTAGGGTTTAGGGTTTGGGGTCTAAGGTTTCGGGTCTAGGGTTTAGGGTCTGGGGTCTATACCACTGTGCTTGTAGGTTTTGGAGTGTGCAGAGACTCCAAACCCCTGCACCCCTCACATCCCTAACTCAACGCACTGTTCCTAGTGCAGGGGCTATGGGGCCCCATTGTGCCTTTTTGTTTCTGGGTTTAGGGCTTCGGGGTGTTCAGGAAACTCAGAATCCGAATTCATACTTTTCGCTTCCCATGAACCTTCAAGTAAGGTGTCAGGGATCCAAGCAGGTTTACGGCCAAGGTTTTTAGGATTTAGGGTTTAGGGTTTAGGGATTGGGGTTTAGGGATTCCTGGAACTCCTACAAGAACTCCCCATGAACGTAAAGTCTTCTTGAAGCCCTGATCTCCCCAACAACTACTTTATGCCCACTCTACTTGCAGGTTCATGGGTGGTTTTAAGTAGGGTTTGAAGTACCACAAATAAGGTTAGTTATCTCCGCTTACTAAGCTTACACCTTCAGTTGCCCTACTTATAAGCACCGCCATGGACCTCCAAGTAGTGGGGACTAGTGATAAGATCCTGCACCGCAAACAACCAAAGAACGAGTGTGCCCACGGGTGTGTGTGTGTGTGTGTGTGTGTGTTGAAGATGGTTAGGGTAGTCTCGGAGGTTAGGAACCCTAAACCCTGAACCCTAAACCCTAAACCCTAAACCCTAAACCCTAAACCCTAAACCCTTGAGGGGCTTAGGGTTCAAGGGGTGAGGATCGATGAGGGTCTAGGGGCTTACGCTGAAGTTTCTTGGTGCCGGAGGTCGGACCCCTCGGGGAAGATGGTGACATGAGCCGCTGGCACGAGTTGGGTTTAGGGTTTAGGGTTTAGGGTTTAGGGTTTAGGGTTTAGGGTTTAGGGTTTAGGGTTTAGGGTTTAGGGTTTAGGGTTTAGGGTTTAGAGTTTAGGGTTTAGGGTTTAGGGTTTAGGGTTTCGTGTATGTGTGGAGTCAACTCAGCCTTGGGTGGAAGGTTGCGGGGCCTACAGGACCCTGAACCCGAAAAATAGTTGCAGTTGGGGGTCGAAGGGCAACTTAAATCCCTAAACCCCAGCGGGGTATTGATGTTTCTGGGAGTCCTGGGCAGCCCAACAGCACGGCCGGGGGGGGGGGGGGGGGGGGTCCCCATTTTAAAGGGCCCTCATGTAGGGAAGATGCACCTACGAAGATATGATTTAGCAATAAGCCCTTCGTCAGTTGTGTGGCCTCAGTGCCTCGATGGAAACTCAAAGGCCTTAAATCACCAAAGCCCCGGCCCCAGAAGTGACAAAAAGCTCCAAACCCGAAGCCCGAAACCCCACGAGCTCTTAACCCTAAAGGGGTTGGGGTTCAGGGTTTAGGGTTTGGGGTTTAGGGTTGAGGGGGGAGGGGGAGGGTTTGGGGTTTAGGGCAACACCTAAAACCCCAAGCCCCAGCACGCCAGGCGCGATCTTGTCGCCTGGGCCAACAGCTCACTGCCACCATCGGCGCTGCTCCTCGCGGCCTGGGAAGGGATGGGGATTGGGGGATTGGGGGTTTGGGGGTTTCGGGGTTTGGGGGTTTAGGGTTTAGGGTTTAGGGTTTAGGGTTTAGAGGGTTTAGGGTTTAGGGGGTTTGGGGTTTAGGGGTTTGGGGTTTGGGGTTTGGGTCTAGGGTGTGCATGGAATCCCCACCTTCCCCCCCTGCTCCCCCCCTGCTCCCCCCCTGCTCCCCCCCCCTCTCCTCCCCCCCGCCCCCTCCCTCCCCCGCAGGGCATCAGGTTCGGGAGGTAGAAAGTTTCGGGTTCAGCCATGTCCCCCGCAGCTTGTGTGTTCGACTTATTTTTTCTGGCTTTGTAGCTATGAGGTTTTGGGATTTCGGAGCATCTGGTGAAAGGTTACCTACTCGGCAACTAAGTCAACCCGAAGCGCAGGCATGAGCAATTAGAGAAAAGGGGGGCTTTAGGGCTCCAGAGGGCTTAGGGTTTGTACCCTAACCCTAAACCCTAAACCCTAAACCATTGGGGAAATATTGCAACTTAACCTATGTAGGAATCTAACCTCACGCGCAACCAGTTAGCAAGTCCTTCAAGTAACCTTGAGGTCTTCTGATTTCGGCTAGGGCCAGTACTTGGGGTAGTTACAACTGGGGATGTAGGTGGGGTAAGTGTAGTCACAAGTGGTTGTTCCCATAGATCAGAGGTAGGCTACAGTATCTATTGCCCTACTTAATAGCCTCCGATGATCCTCCCAGCACGCTTCCCAGAAGGACATGCACATCCTAAACCCCAAGCCCTAAACCCTAAACCCTATAAACCCTAAACCCTAAACCCTAAACCCTAAACCCTAAACCCTAAACCCTAAACCCTAAACCTCCCGGAAGGACATGACTCTGGCCGCGAAACTGCGACTGACCTGCCCGCAGATCCGCCATGCCGGCGGCGCTTTGTGTTGCATCGCACCTCGAAAGGAGGTCTTTGGGTTTAGGGTTTAGGGTTTAGGGTTTTTAGGGTTTATAGGGTTTATAGGGTTTATAGGGTTTATAGGGTTGAGGGTTGAGGGTTGATGGTTGAGGGTTGAGGGTTGAGGCGGTTGAGGGTTGAGGCGGTTGAGGGTTGAGGGTTGAGGGCCAAGCTAGGGGGTTCCTATGTTCTTATTGTACGTTCCCCAGCACCCGAACAATCAAAAGGTACCTTAACGGGGTTTCCTACGGAACCCAACCCAAAATTTCATATCAGCCCATGTGAGGGGTTTCCGAAATTAGGGGTACCTTGTTGGGGTCCTGTTTATAAGGGGATCATACGAATTATTCGGGAGTTTACTCTTAGGGGCCCCTCATTGTCGTAAAACCCCCAGGGGCCCTTCGAAAATATCGGTATTGGCAGATCTCAAGGGCCTGCAGGGGCCAGGCTCCTACAGAAAAGGGCTTTAGGGTTTAGGGTTTAGGGTTTAGCGTTTAGGGTTTAGGGTTTAGGGTTTAGGGTTTAGGGTTTAGTAGGGTTTAGGGTTTAGGGTTTAGGGAGTAGGGAGTAGGGAGACCATTTTGCAAAAACATGCCGAGTACCCCCTGTGGCCGTGGAGCTTTATCTCAAGTGTTCCACGCGTCCCTTCCCCACCCCCCTTGGCGAAAGGACCTGTCAGTTCAGACGTTGCACATATGCCTTTAGGGTTCAGGGTTTTGGGTTTCGGGTTTAGGGTTTAGGGTTCATGCTTTTGCACGTGGCTGGGAGCGTAGACATGCCTCAACAAAAAGCAATGCAGCCATTCCTTGACGGATGCTGTCTTGTTCGTCAAGCAGACCTCCAGTGCAACGACCACTCACATCTGCGCATGCAGAAACTTGCGTCTTCCTAGCCAAGACACTCCTAGTACCCTAAACCCTAAACCCTAAACCCTAAACCCTAAACCCTAAACCCTAAACCCTAAACCCTAAACCCTGAACCCTAAACCCTAAACCCTAAACCCCTCATCTCGCTCGGCCAGGTGTTGGAAACCACCCGCAATACGAGAGCCCGGGGCCCTGCAGTGGTCAACAGCTTTTTTTTGTTCTCCTTTGCCTTCTCCCCTTCCCGGGTTTAGGGTTTAGGGTTTAGGGTTTAGGGTTTAGGGTTAAGGGTTTAGGGTTTAGGGGTTCCCCCCCTTCCCCTCTTCCCTTCCCCACCTCCCCCCCCCTTCCCCCCCTTGCCTCCCCTTGCCCCCCTTGCCTGAGGCTTAGGGCTTTTTGTCGTGCTCAGGGGGGAAGTGGACATCCATTGTTATTGGAAGTCGAGGGCTCAATCAAATTTAGAGGTTGTGAAACGTTTCGATCTGTAACACTGGCGTTAGCAGTCGACATATTCTGCCCGCACCCTACCTATGTTCACCCCCTCCTCGCTCTGTACTTGGGGAGTCTGGCGACCTTGTGTGCAGTTAGACCGGGAATTGTAAGGATATCGAGATTAAGATTTAGGGTCCCTTCCAAGCTACTTGTAACTCTACGTTGTGTCCACTTCTGCGTCCCGCAAACCCTAAACCTGATTACCAAATCCCCTACTTTCCCTTAAGGGTCCATGTACCTTATTATTGTATACTTTAAGGCCCAAGTACTCCCTGTTTAGGTACATGGCCCTAAACCCTAAACCCTAAACCTTAAACCCTAAACCCTAAACCCATGGACCCTAAGGGTTTCCCTTCAGCACCAGCAAGTGGGGCTCTTGCACCGTCCGGTCTCCCGATCTCCTTCTCCCAGCGTCTAAGCCAGGCTTGGGGTTAGGGTTCACAATCTCTGGGTTTAGGGTTTAGGGTTTAGGGTTTAAGTTTAGGGTTTAGGGTTTAGTGTTTAGGGTTTAGGGTTCAGAATTTTGCGCCCAGGGTTCAGGATTTAGGGCTTATTAGATGTAGGGTTTAGTGTAGACATCCAGGGTTCGGTGTTGAGGCCTAAGGTTGGTTTTAGGGTTCGGAGTCCATCCGCAGACCCTTGTTGGGAGGATCCACACAGTAGAGCCCCACATAGTACCCTAAGAGGATCTTCTTTTTTGGAATTTTTCCCAAACAGAGCAAGTATGGGTGGCCGAAACATTCTAAGGTCAATCATGAACCGAAAATGGGTCTTTGGGGGTACCTATAAAGCAGAAGTTCGTGCATCTGGTCGGGAGGGGGAGGAAGGGCGAAGGGCGGGAGACGGGGGGCAACGGGGGGACAACGCACCCCAAACCCTGAGCCCGGGCACGCGGGGGAGGTTCGGAGGAGGGCGGGGAATCGAGGCCCTTCCCAACGTGCGGCTGTGACACGCCAAGACCTGCAAGACGCCTCGATTCTTTGAGACAACTCGAGGAATATGAGCCCTGAAACCCAAACCCTCTCAAGCCTAAACCCCAGAAACCCAACCCTCTCCGCTAAATTTTTCAGACCCTATAGAACCCGATAAAACCGCACCACCGAAAAGCCGCAAAACGTAATTTGTAATCCCTATTCCCCTGATGCTAGCAGTCCTTCAGAATTCGGGATTATCGCTATAATCCCTATAAGGCCCTGCTAGTAGAAGGGGGAACAGCTCAACCTACTCCCTATACCTAAAGAATCAGGGGCCTTCGTAAGTGGGGTTAAGTCAGGCAACTGTACTTTTACTTACTTACAAGCCCAATTCAGGTACGTATAACCCTATTCACTAAGTGCCCCGATCCTCCAAGCGAGCCTTGAAACGAAACCGTTGAGCGCCTGTGGCTGGGTGTGCTGCGGAGGCCTGACGTCCCGGAAGCGGAATCGGGATTACTACAGGCGATCAGGGTTAACCCTAAAGAAACCTTCTCTTGGGAGCTCCGTGGTACCCTTTTCCCTTTCTTTGGTTCAAGGTTCCCTTCTAAAGTAACCAGCCCATTGAGGGTTTAGGATTCAGGGTATGCGGAGTTCAGGGCTTTGAGGACTAGTAGAGTATAGCTTAGGTTCAGGAGTCTTTTCTCTACCTCGGTGATTGAAGCTGTCTAAACACGCAGTTCTCCGTTCGGGGTTTCTAGACCGCTTTAGGCGGTCTAAGTTATGGGTGCTCTAGTCTTGAAAACTTTGCGATGAAGTCCGCAAACCCGTAAACCGCTCAGACATTTGGCTGCGTGGTCCGGTGATCCTTCTCACGGCTTCGCACATGCCCTCCTGCTGGTTTCACATCCTAAACCCTGAGTCCCAAACCCAAAATCCTCAAAGGCGACCCATCACTGACCGGTGTTTTTTGGGGTCCAGGTTTAGCATGGATTAGCGACCCCTCTGTTGTTTAAAAGTTGACACAAGCCTCTTGGCCTTATGCCCTTACCTTTCCCCTTGTAGCACCCTCTACTACTATCGGGTGAGTATGAAGAGCCCTCGCTCTGCACCATCACGTCAGGACCTTTACCTGTGCATCACCCGCAACGGTGCACCAGGCAGGGTGCTCTCGCTGCTGCCCGAAATATCCCTTGCAAAGCCTCAGCCCGAAACCCTAAAGCCTAAGCCCTAAACCCTAAAGCCCTGAGACCCCTGAAGTGCTTCATGAGAACGAGGCAATTGCTCAGGGCAATCAGTTCAAATCTCGCACTCACGGACGCCCTAAAGTTGGGGTTTAGGCTTTAGGCTTTAGGCTTTAGAGTTTAGAGTGTAGGCTTTAGGGTTTAGGCTTCTTCCATCTCCCTGACCCTCTACCCGGATATGGGGCACCTATTTCCCCAAAAAAAATCCGTTTAAGATGCCAGCAGTCGTACAGGCTGTGCGAAACTGCGGGAAGGGGGGGGGGGGAGGCGGGTTCTGCTTTCCAGGTGCTGCCTTTACTTTGGAGGTTCATGAGTCGATATAATTAGGAACATGAGTAGGGTAGCTCTAGTTTTTTATTACCGAAACTCTTGGGCTAGGGGGTGTAGGTAGGGTTTAGGGTATAGGGTTCAGGGTTCAGGCTTCAGGCTTCAGGCTTCAGGCTTCAGGCTTCAGGCTTCAGGTTTTAGGGTTTAGGGTTTAGGGTTTAGGGTTTAGGGTTCAGGGCTTCTCAACCCTAATCAACGGTGTCGCAGCGGCAGCGGCTCGAAACACACGCAAACTAGCGCCATGATGCGCCTTCTCACGGTGACTTGGCGCTTATGCTCCTTACCCGGGCGTTGCGTTGGGGGTGTATGAGTGGTTTAAAGTTTAGGGTTCTTAGGAGGTTAGGGTTTAGGGTTTGGGGTTCTTAGGGCTTTGGGCAAAGGGTTTTGTTTGCCCTAGACACCCTAAGCCAAATAGGGCTTCCTTGCCTGTCGAAAGAGCTGTCGAATCTAATTAGTGAGTTTTCAGGTGGGCAGCTTCCCTTATGAACATCTTATATTAAACCCATACTGTATAGAAGAGGCTTCTATGAACAGCAGCTACCGACCTTGAACTGTCCGCTTTTCTCTCAGGGTAGTTGCACAGGCCCTTAATACTATGACCCCTTGCCTCCTTTAACGGGTTCTGGGGTATGGCCCTTGGGTTGTACAGCGTATATATAGGGGTCCCTGTTTAAGGGCCCATATCAGCGTACCGTGTAACTACCCTAGCCACAAACCTTAAACCCTGAACCCTAAACCCTGAACCCTAAACTTCACCCCAGAGTTTGCTCCCAGCCGCCGTCCTCGGTAAGATTATGGCCGCGCCCTGTCGGGGCACCAAGGGTCCACTCCAAGGATCTCCAGCTGGTAGTCATCATAGGGTTTAGGGTTTAGGGTGCAGGGCTTAGGGTTTAGGATTTAGGGTTCAGGGTTTAGTACTCGGAGGATCACGGCACTTAGTAAGCAGTAGGGTGAGAAGTGCCTTAACTGGGCTTAGATGTATTTCTAAGTCCAGTTACGTCCTTTTAACCCCACTTACTATATCCCTTGGTCCTTTCAGTAGACCCAAAGGGTCCATGTACCTCCTCATTGTATACTTGGACCCCAAAGTCCCTATATAGGAGGTACTTCAAGGCCCCAGTCTGCCTTATTTAGGTGCATGGACCCTTGAGGGTCCCTAAACCCTAAACCCTAAACCCTAAACCCTGAACCCTGAACCCTGAACCCGAAACCCTAAACCCTAAACCCAGAAGGACTGCTGGTATAAAGACAGGTGCAGCATCAGCTTCTCCGTCTGCGCACAGCATCGTCCGGTCGAGCCGGATGTCGAACATCTCCCGCGATCTGAGCACTACGCGGAGTTTAGGGTTTAGGGTTTAGGGTTTACGGTTTAGGGTTTAGGGTTTATGGTTTAGGGTTTAGGGCCTACTTGGAGGTTCTGGGTACTTAATAACCCAAAAATATCTGTACTTAGAAGCCACATATAAGCCCCCTAAATGCCCTAATAATCGGGTGATATATATTATAAGTAGAGCTTAATTGGGTGATTAAGTACCATGAACCTCCAAGTACAAACCCGGCTAAACACACTCCCAAACCCTACACACCCGGAACACGCAAAACACCCGCAAAATCCTAAACCCTAAACATCCCCCCCAAAAAAAACAACAAAATAGCAACAAAACCATTGAAGCTAAGGCACTGGGCCTGCCCTGGTGCGCGGCAGCCGCATTAGGCGGCCCACTGCCGCTCGGCCAGAAGGTTGTTCATTTGTTTTCTTGTTCTTTTCATTTTTAGTTTTTAGTTTTTTTTTTTTTTTTTTGGGGGGGGGGGGGGGGGTGGTGTGCGGGGGGTTTAGGATGAAGGGTTTAGGGCTTTTGGAGTTTATTGGGGTTGAATTTCGGGTTTCAGGGTTAGGGGCTCTCAGCCCTAGTAAAACCCAAATGGTATGCATGGCTAAGGTTTGAGATTGGCATGTTCCCTCTTATACCAACAGCCCTTAATAAGGATTTTAATCGGGGGTACTACAATCCCTATTAGGGATCAGGCTTCAGGCTTGCCAGCAGCCGGTAAGGGCCAGGTTTTGGCTGATGGCCGGGGGGGTGGGGGGGGGGTGCTTTTCAGTTCTTACTTGGTAGCTCTTGGTTTTAGCGTTTTAGGGTTTCAGGGTTTTAGGGTTTTAGGGTTTTAGGGTTTTAGGGTTTTAGGGTTTTAGGGTTTTAGGGTTTTAGGGTTTTAGGGTTTTAGGGTTTTAGGGTTTTAGGGTTTTAGGGTTTTAGGGTTTTAGGGTTTTAGGGTAGTCACTTCTTCATGCGGAACCAGAGGGGTGTAAGGGAGGGAGGTGTACACAACCCTCTCCCTTGCACCCCCACCGGTTCCTTATGAGCTGTCTAACCCAGGCGACTTAGGTGATGACTTTAGGCTTAGGGGTTTAGGGTTTAGGGTTTAGGGTTTAGGGTTTAGGGTTTATGGTTTAGGGTTTAGGGTTTAGGGCTTCCTGAACTAACTCCATCATGAGAAGGGTTAACTTGTTTCCCCCCAGGAAGTCCAGAACACTAAGCTAAATCACGGTACCTTGGGATGCTCCCCCTTATACTAACAGTCGTTAACTTGTGATCATATTACCCCCCATTTCAGAATATTGTAATCCGTATTAAGGACTGGTACCTTGTTTGGGGATGCGGATCAAACAAAGTTTATTTAGGATCAAGAAAAATTATTTAGGATCAAAAAATGGTTTATTTAGGATCAAAAAATAATGTATTTAGGATCAATAAATAATTTCTTCTGTTCTTCCGACGGAGAGAGGGAAGGGGAGGGAGGGAGGGAGAAAAGGATGGAGGGAGGGAAGGAAGGGCGGAAGGACGGAAGGAAGCAAGGAAGCAAGGAAGGAAGCAAGGAAGCAAGGAAGGAAGCAAGGAAGCAAGGAAGCAAGGAAGCAAGGAAGCAAGGAAGCAAGGAAGCAAGGAAGCAAGGAAGCAAGGAAGCAAGGAAGAAAGGAAGCAAGGAAGCAAGGAAGCAAGGAAGCAAGGAAGCAAGGAAGCAAGGAAGCAAGGAAGCAAGGAAGCAAGGAAGCAAGGAAGCAAGGAAGCAAGGAAGGAAAGGAAAGGAAAGGAAAGGAAAGGACAGGACAGGAAAGGATATGTAGGAAAACATAACATAACATCATATGTTAATATATATATATATATGTATATATTACAACAAAATATAACAAAATATTTAGAGTGGCATAGAGTAGAATAGAACACAATATCGTAGAGTATACCTTTGTATCATAAAAATGTAATAAAATCGAAATAGCAAAGCATATATGCATATATTTACTGCTATTTGATATAGAATTGATAATGCACAATACATATTTCTTGTTTCCACTCGTATGAATCCCTTCCAAACCCATGATGCGAGCATTGTGTTTGCAAATGGGGGGGGGGGGTCTGCGCCCCCCCTTCAAACCCCCCGCTGTTTCTTAAAGCCGGGCAAGCTTGCTTCAAAGCATATGAGTATCCTTTCCAAACCAATGATGCGAGCGTTGTGTTTGCAAATGGGGGGGGGGCTGCGCCCCCCCCCCCAACCCGCCCCCCCGGCTGTTTTCTTAGTCCGGGCAAGCTTGCTTCAAAGCACATGAATCCTTCTGATGCGAGCACTTTTTTGCAAAAAAACATGAAGACACAGTAAGATACAATGATATACAAAAATATAGTACAAAACGATGCAATAATATACAATAATACACAAAAAACAACAATATGCAAGTATGTACAAGAATATGCAGCAATATACACGCAAAAAAAGAATAACTTACAATAATTTTCAGTAATTGCCAATAAATATTCAATAATAGACAACAATATACAATAATATACAAAATTATACAATAATATACAATAATATACACCCATATATACAATATTTTTCAAGATTATACAAAAGATGTACAGCAAGACATACAACAATATAAAACAGTGCACAACAAATTACAATAATATTCAATAGTAGATATACAATAGTAGACAATAATATACAATCATATACTTTAACATAGAGTAATCTGCAATAATATACAAAGAAAATTCAAGAATATACAATAATATACAGTAACCTACAAAAAAAGAGAAGAATATACAATAATTTGAAAAATATACAATAACATTCAATAATATGCAATAATATGCAATAGCACACAAAAGCATAAGAAAATACAAGACAATACAATAATACTCAACAATATATACAACAATGTACAATAATTTGCAAAAATATACAATGTCATACAATATTATACAAGAATTTCCACAATACTATGCCAGAATATACATGCTTCAGAGTATACGCATTTTTGAAACTTCTAATGCCAAGATGCCAGCATTGATTTGCAGCCTCTGCAAACTCAGAAATGCTGCTATTTACAGTATTTCCAGCCTCTGAAATCGCAGAAATGCTGCTATTTTCCGTATTTGCAGCCTCTGGAAACTCAGAAATGCTGCAGTGTACAGTATTTCCAGACTCTGAAAGCGCAGAACTGCTGCTACAAACAATATCTGCAGCCTCTCTGGAAACTCTGAAATGCGCAAAAATGCTGTGTTTTTTCGGTATTTAGAGCTTGC